TTTGATTATAGCTCAGTTAATGTGCACTGGGTTTAATTATCATTTAGCGGGAGAAATGTAAACACTACAGCAGTACACAATCACAAACATACATTCTTAAACTTTCCTGATGTAAATATTTCTTGAATGGGAAAACTTTTTCTAGAAAAAAAATACGATAGTAAAAGATGTCTTTTACATTTTTATTTTTACCAAAAAAATCATTTTTATGAAATGTTTATTAATATATTTTTTTTCAAAATTACCACTTTTTAATGTGTCTCTTAAATGTTAATAAATGGTTAGCTGGCCCAAATAATATTCTATTTACAAAACTTTGTATTTGTATGCAGTACTGGTATATTTATCTCTGAACACCCATTAAATGTTAAGCTAAAGGCCTGCAATGTAAAGAAATCTTTCTCTCCAAAGATAAATTATTATTTCCAGCTCAGAATTAAATTATTACCACGGAGTTAGTGTTTTTACTGTAATATATAAAATATTCAGAATTAGTATAATTATGTATATAGGTCGGTTTACATCTTGTTGGGTATTTTTTGTAAAGGTCGGTTTACAGTTTGTCAGGTAATTGTAGATCTAAAAACTGGATTAAAAATGTGTTGATATAAATTAATACATTAAGGTCGGATTACAATTTGTCAGATAATTGTAGATCTAAAAACTGGTTTACAAATGTGTTGGTATATCTAAATACATTAAGGTCGGTTTACAATTTGTCAGATAATTGTAGATCTAAAAACTGGTTTACAAATGTGTTGGTATATCTAAATACATGAAGGTCGGTTTACAAATGTCTGGGTATATCTAAATACATTAAGGTCGGTTTGCAATTTGTTTGGTATATCCATATATGTCGGTAGGGCCAGGGGCAGATTTTGAGCATTTGTTTGCTGTAAAATTGAGAATTCAATCTAAATCTAAACATTCAAACTTTTTTTTTATTGGGGATGAATCAGATTATGAATAAGATAATACTTTGTAGTGATAATTTGTCAGTTCCGATTGAATATCAAAGGTTGCAAAGATATAGAATTTATATAGAGAATCAGAATTTGTGGTAAACATTCATTCCTTTGAAGGGTCAAGAGGCTGAAATATTTTTAAATGGAGAAAAAAAAGTGTATGAAATATATTTTAACTATTCATTTTCGGATAAACATTTCAAACTGCTTAGAAAAAAAACTTGGTGCTCCACAGTTTTCAAAATACATTTCAATATATTGAATAAACTTAACAATTCTTTAGGTGTCATGGTAAGATTTTACTTTGTTTTATAAAATGATCTTACAGAATCTTTTGATAGCCTTAAAAAATCCCAATCTTTCTAAAAGAATCTAATTATCGTCCTAGTTTCGAACCCTCTTATCATGTGTTCCAATATCATTGTATTATTTTTGGTTGACAGAATTTAATTTCACTCACTTTGCATAATTTAGTTTAAATTCCTGAATAGAAAGTTCATTTTATTTCCTATCCCTGCTCAGTTCTCATTCACGGGATTTTCTATCAAATAGATGTCCCAAGAAGACGTGAGAATGTATTAATATTGAGCTGAAACAAATTTACTTTAATGTTATGTAGAGATAAGGATATATCCAACATTGGTCCCTGGGGCAACATTATATACAGGAGAAGTTACACAAACAAACACAAACACAGATAAACACGATACTGTGATACGGTGTAAAGTGTACGGTACAACGATGTAATGTGTACGGTGATCTGGTATACAGTGTACAGTGATACGGTGTAAGTGTACGGTCAACAGGTGTAATGTGTACTGTGATACGGTGTAATGTGCATGGTGATACGGTGTAATGTGTACGGTGATATGGTGTACAGTTTATGATGATAATGATGTAATGTGTACTGTGACACGGTGTAATGTGTACGGTAATTTGGTGTAATGTATACAGTAATTCAGTGTAATGTGTACGGTGATACAGTGTAATGTGCACGGTGATACAGTGTAATGTGTACAATGATACGGTGTAATGTATACAGTGGTACAGTGTAATGTGTACAGTGTACGGCGAAACGGTGTACAGTGTACGGTGATCCGGTGGCTTTTTCATACTTGTGCGTAAAATAAAAACTAATGGAGCTACGAGATCACAAAGTCGTACTGGTACATACATTTGACCTTTTCCTTCCGCCTATATAGTTTACAATGGCACGGAGATAATAGAGCATTCAGAAGTACACATATCATTAATAAATAGCCAGCATAAATTTGAATCAGCGTTATTATAAAAGATTTTTAGAATTCAAGAATTGAGCAGAAGGGTATCTAACATTTTCAAACATTTTATAAAAAATGTTATAGTTTAAGGTTTTATCAAGATTTACAGTGTGTTGTAAAGAAAAGACATAAATATTTAGGAACACATATTCTATGGTTTGCAGATCCTAAACAAAACCAATATCAGATTTTACACTTTTCAATAAAAAATTAAAGACTAGTGGACGGAAACACAAACGTGTGCAGGGCAAACGTAGAACATGCCAAACGTTGGACAGGACAAATGTAGAATAGGACAAAGGTAAGATTGGACAAACGTAGGAAAGAATAAGTATACGACAGACAAACGTAGGACATGGACAAGCGGAGAACAGGACAAACGTAGGAACGTGGAACAGACAAACATAGGACGGGACAAAAGTATTGCAGGACCAACGGTGGACAAGGACAAACAAAGGATATAAACAAACTCAGACAGAGACTATCTCTACTTCTTTTCAACCTGATGGCATAAACCTGTGATATTTCTCTAATATTAATTGATCTGACAGGTATCAAGGGTGTAATGCAAGGAAAGTTAATTGCTGTCATGTATATTCTGCGTACATATTGAAACCAGTTCTCATTGGGCATAGATGCCTCAGTGTTCGTTTAGTATCCGAGGAGGTTAAAAGCATTAAATTTTGATAATTTTGATAATTCACATAATAGTTTCCTATGACCAGAATATTTCATTGATTTTTTATGTGAAAGATGGATCCCATGTCAGGCTTCGACATCCGTCTTGTGTTTACATTAGCGCCCAGAGAGAGTACACTGCAGTACAAAAGATGTGTACACATCTATAATAACTTTCCTTGCATTACATCCTTGCTATGTATAATGTATATATATATAATATTTTAGAATTACATTTATTGCTTCTAATTGTAAATACATGATGAATAACGAGTGAAAGAGGAAGTTGAGTAGGACTTCTCTGGTTCCAGAACCCGACACTACTGATTTGCAGATTTCATAATCCTCGTTCGGGGATTTCTTCCTTTGCAATATGTATATTTGATTGCAAAGTAATAAAGATTAGAAAACCCGTGTTTGTTCCATCAAATCTGCTCTTTATGTTTTCTTCATTTCTACACGTCTATCATTCTCATACGTTTGTCTCGGCTCACGTTTATCCTTGGCCCTTGTTTGTCCTGCCCTACGTTTGTGCTCTGCCCAATGCCTATGTTTGTCTAGCTGTCTATAATTTGTCCTGTCCTACGTCTATCTGTCCCCCTTCTGTCCTAATATTCGTATGTCTGTCCTGTCCTATTTTGTCTTATAGTCCTGGGAGATCATCATGAACTTGCGTCAGAGATGAAAGGAATTGTTGACAAAACATTTTATTTCTGAAAATTGTATATTTTATCTTTATAAAATAAAATAAACAATCATCATATGTTGCTCTCTCATCACAGTTCAACACAAATTTTGACAATAAATTGGTTTAAAACAGTGGAATATATTTTGACTAACCTTCCTAAATGCCCAGGAATAATATTTTCTTTAAATTAAACATTTATCAGAGCAGTTCCTCTTATAAACCCCAGAAAATATGATGTATACCAAAATGATGTGATATTTAAAGCGTTATTTTAGGAATTTATAAGATTAAAACTTAAAATGTTACTTTTGTAGAAGACCCTATAAACCAACTGCCACCCTATAGTAAATGTACATACATAATATAAAACAGTTTGGGAACCCAGCTTTGCTTGGAAACTAAACTTTCGCTTTAAAAGTCAATCCGCTGAACCTAGAATTGAGAAACCAAGGTAAAAATATTTCCGTAGTTCTATCGAGGTCCATAATCAAAATTTAAAGCAAATCTGTCAAGTGGTCAAGTAATAATCAGGCACACAAACAGACAAACAGACAAACAGAGATTACGACTTTATAAATATAAATATGCCTGACCACTGTATATACATGTAACCACAAAACTTGTGTTTTGATAGTTTAAAGGGACTGTAAACATAAAAAATCAGGTAACTCACCATTTCCGATTCACGATGGTACCTTGTAGACTGCAAACCTCTATATTGAGTAACAATGAGGATTTTAATTGATTTTCTTTATTTTCTTGGAGGATAAACGAGTAATTCACGTTAGTAGGAAACCCATAGTTAAAAATAGTCAATTTCTAGTTAGAAAATTCAGGCTATCTCATTTATTTTTATCAGACTCAGGGTACTATTGTAAATCAAACATGACAATTAACAAATGGGAGGGGCACTTTCAATTACCTCTCCACACCCTTTAATAAGTGTTAACGGCTAGACTGGGTATTGTTATAAAATCAGTAAAAGATTGAAGTCATAAAAGCAATTTCAATTATCAGATTAAATTGATAACAACAGTGAGTAAAATGCTTAATGAGTCCTATATATTTCTCCAGTTGAACATAAATAATTAACATAATGTCTATAAAGCATTTAACACGGAAAGCAAAGCTGACAGTTGTCGGGAAACTAAAATATTCTATAAAATATTCAAAAAATTTATAAAAAATTTATAAAAAATTTATAAAATATTTTAATTTGAATTACAAAATAATCCGCTCAAAACTTTTTCTCGAAAAAATACTAAAAAAAACGCTCTGTATTCGAAAATTCTCGACATAAAATTCAACCAACCTAATACTATGTTTCAGTTAAGTTTCAAATTTTCGACGTGCACATCACTGGAAACCCTAAATTTTGTAAGAAGAAAAAACATTTTCTTAAATTTTATTTGCAAAACATTTTTGTGCTCAAAGCTTGATTGGTGATACATTGATATTGATATTGTCGATCAGCTTGATCAACAGTCATTTACGAAAAGAAAATAATATAGTGAGATATTTATTAATATCATTTTCTTATACTTCTTTAAACTCAATCCTCGCCACCAGATGTGCCAGGACGGTTTTCGTCCTCATCTGTAAAAAAGATCAAATGATATCAGAAAATTTTATTTATTGCTTTCATATGCTGAATATTTATATAAAGTTACACTGATTTCATATTTTTAAACCTGAAAAAGTGCGATATCATTAAATTTAAAAAAATCAAATTAATTGCCATGAATATAAGGCTTATGATTACTGACCCTCCATGGTGAATCCGTCCAATATCTTGCTGATGTTTGCCTTTCTCTTGGACTTGGACTTCTCCATGCTCTCTAGCTTGATCAGCACAGCATCAATCTTAGAGACAATGCTACCAATAACTCCTTCCATTCTGTCTACCCGCTTGGTCAGCCTAGGAATTTATAAAATGCTTGGTTAGTAATGTTTTAAATCATTTCAGGTATTTATTTTTAGAACATACATTCCAAACTCTTCATGGTTGATTGTTCCGACCGAAGCTGTGGTTGGTCTTGATCTGGCAGATTTAGCAGATCTTATTTGCCTGGCTTCCTTTCCAGACTTGGGTCTCGCCTGGAATATATTCAAACTATTGGAATCTGTTTAACAAAAGATTTCTATTTCAACTACCTCAGTATCAAGAGTATCATTGTCTAGATCATTAATGATCTGCATCCCTTCGTCCCAGGAGAAAATTCCATCTCCATCAACATCATACTTTGCAAAGAACATTTCTATCTCCATATCAGAGAAGTTGCACCTAGCAAACATTAGTTAAAGAGACTGTAGGAGTATTTTCAAATAACTCCCCATTTGCACCGTAGCCCGTAGCAAATCCTATCAAAACAATACCCATTAAACCTGCTTATGATCTATGATGGAAAATTCCACATTTTTCCGGCTGGAAATTGAGCTTCTGTAAACTGGAGGTTTACAGAGGTCTACAGAGTACTCTGCATGCCAATGAATACTCGAGTTATCCCGCAATCAATTTCCAACTAAAATTAAAGAATTATCCTTCAATGAGCATCAGACAGTCATGTTGTGAATTGGACATGCCAATTAATAAAGGGAGAGCTACTTGAAGTTCATTTCCTTTAAGATAAGGTACCACAGTAGATCAGTAAAATTTACTTCGACACTTACTTTTTCAAGTTCTGCCTCACTTCTTCATACGTTACTTGGCCATCAGCGTTTGCAAGTTTCAGAGCATTTTCGATATCAATCAGTTTATTACGGAGCCCAACTTTGCCAAGCATATTGTTGTATCCTCTCTTCATATAGTCTCCCAGTTCAAACTCATTCCGTTGAGCGGCGATTTCTGCTTTTACCTCACTATAGGTATCATTGATGATTGCCAAGAACATGTTTAGGAGAACAAAGAAGACAAAGAATACGTAGCATAAGAAGAAGATAGGTCCAAGAATTCGATTAGCCTTCTCCATAGAATTGAAATCAAAGTCTCCAAGAATTGTTCTGAGCAGGGTAAAAATGGCTGAATCAAATGTGCTGTAATCTCCAACTTGAGTTCCAAACAGTAGGTATCCCAGCTGGGCGAATGCAAAGAATACAATGAAGAACATAACGCCGAATCCCATGATGTCCCCGGCACATCTTGACAGGGTGCTGGCCAGCTGGGTCATCGTCTTGTTAAACGAAATATACTTAAAGAGTTTAACCCAGGAGAAAAAGACACAGATAGCAACAAATGATTTAAACATCTGAGAAGCATTACCAAGGGATTGGAAATCTGCAAAGACATCAGGCTCAGAGAGAAGAGCTTTGAGTTCTACTTCAACAGAGAAGTAAGTATATATATTCAAACACTGATTGATAAGAGAAAGGATTACAACCACTATATCTAAATTGTTCCAAAGTCCAGTAAAGTAAGCGCATCTTAGTTTATATATCTCTAATATTTCCTCAACAATATAGTAGAAAATAAACATGATGTAAATGAACTCGCAGGCCATGATGAAATAATCATATGAGTTTACATATCTCAGGAGCTTGACGGTTTTATAAGTTGCGCTGGGAAGAATCCCTCCTGTAGCTGGAAACTCAAACAAGAAGTTTACAACGCAGAACAGGTTTATGTTGGCATTGTAAACAGTAAAATCAATCATGACAGCTCGGGTTCCACGGTTAATCCATAGATTCTCCTTCAGCTCGTGAACAATTGCTTGAGACTCGTTACGCACTGAATGCAGATTTTGAAATGCACCATTTCCAGAATATGTTCCAACCTAGAACAAATAGTGAAATGTATATTTCCAGAATATGTTCCAACCTAGAACAAATATTGAAATATATATTTCCAGAATATGTTCCAACCTAGAACAAATACTGAAATATATATTTCCAGAATATGTTCCAACCTAGAACAAATATTGAAATATATATTTCCTGAATATGTTCCAACCTAGAACAAATATTGAAATATATATTTCCAGAATATGTTCCAACCTAGAACAAATATTGAAATATATATTTCCTGAATATGTTCCAATCTAGAAAAAATATTGAAATTTATATTTTCTGAATATGTTCTAACCTAGAACAAATATTGAAATATATATTTCCTGAATATGTCCCAACCTAGAACAGATACTGAAATATATATTTCCTGAATATGTTCAAACCTAGAACAAATATTTAAATATATATTTCCTGAATATGTTCAAACCTAGAGCAACTACTGAAATATATATTTCCAGAATATGTTCAAACCTAGAACCAATACTGAAATGTATATTTCCAGAATATGTTCCAACCTAGATTGTTCAAACCTAGAACAAATACTAAAATATATATTTCCAGAATATATGTTCCAACCTAGAACAAATACTGAAATATATATTTCCAGAATATGTTCTAACCTAGAACAAATACTGAAATATATATTTCCAGAATATGTTCCAACCTAGAACAAATACTGAAATATATATTTCCAGATATGTTCCAACCTAGAACAAATACTGAAATATATATTTCCAGAATATGTTCAAACCTAGAACAAATACTGAAATATATATTTCCAGAATATATGTTCAAACCTAGAACAAATACTGTAATATATATTTCCAGAATATATGTTCAAACCTAGAACAAATACTAAAATATATATTTCCAGAATATATGTTCCAACCTAGAACAAATACTGAAATATATATTTCCAGAATATGGTTCATCATGGTGAAATCAGCTTAAGGGGAAAAATCCAAACATTTTATTCATGATTTAGCTTCCAGCAAATGTAATTTAAAGTAACATTTTATTTATTCAAATGTAAATAAATTATCAGTGACATGTTCGATTTAAACCTTTTTTCTGAGAAAAGAATAATTTTTTATCCCAAAATTGATAATTTTTCAATTGCAGTTCTTGCGCAGGAAAACAGAATAACATTTTCAGAAATGGAATTTAAAGATTTGAGCGGCGGTTTAAATCCGCCAAAACCTGGTTTAAAGTAAGCGCCGGCTTAAATCTTGAAACATTTGATACAAATTTAAGCGGAAGCAACCATATTTAAGCCGCGGCTTAAATTTAAACCGCCTCTCAAATTCTTTAAATTCGGCCACAGAAAAAAAAACTTTTCCAGAAGGAAACAGGTGTCTTCCAAACTTTTGCTTAGGTTTTAACGGTACTATTGTTAATCAGACATGCCAATCTGAAAATGAGAGTGAATTGAAAGACTTTCTTCTATTTCCTTATCTGACGCCTTTTTTGGTATTTTCCATAAATAACAAAATGTAATTTATACAAGATAAACATTTTTGGTGATATCATTAAATTAGTCATTTTACTCAATGCAAAGCATGTTTAGCACTAAATGGACAGTATTAAGACTAATGCTTGGTTTACCTTTCCAGTAATTGAGAAATCTACCACATCCATCTGTTCTGCAGTGCTATATGACCAGGCAGTTATTGAAGTATGTTGCCTAGAATAATAGATTATGAAAATCAACCATGTTTATAATAAAGGTAGTTATTGAAGTATGTTGCCTAGAATAATAGATTATGAAAATCAACCATGTTTATTATAAAGGTAGTTATTGAAGTATGTTGCCTAGAATAATAGATTATGAAAATCAACCATGTTTATTATAAAGACAGTTATTAAAGTATGTAGCCTAGAATAATAGATTATGAAAATCACCATGTTTATTATAAAGACAGTTATTGAAGTATGTTGCCTAGAATAATAGATTATGAAAATCAAAAATGTTTATTATAAAGGTAGTTATTGAAGTATGTTGCCTAGAATAATAGATTAAAAAATCAACCATGTTTATTATAAATCAGCAATTTTCCCAAAGTAACATTTGATTTTACAAGAGTCAACTGTTTATGATTTATATGTTGAAGAATTTAATAATGATGACACTACTATTTAAATTACGTAATGCAATATTTAATAAGTATTTCTTTACATCTCTTTGTATATCTAAACATTTTCTGGACAAAATTACACTTTTCATGTAAGCATTTCTGTTTGTATATCTTTGTTTGTAAGTTATTCTATGCGATAATAATAAGATCAAACTTTAATTAGAAAGTATTTGTAACCCAGACAACGTCTAGGTACAGTGATAACCAAAAAACTCTGAAATATGAAGACGACTTCTAGAGTTTTCTGATTATCCCTCCATGGTATAAAGAAGTATACCTGTAAGCAGGAAAGAAGTCAGCAGTATCCTCTACATCTGGTGAGTATGGAGCCCAGCAGTTCCGGATGGAGTTCTGAAAATCAGGATGGATTTCACAAGACTGGTTTTGAACTCTCAGTTGCCGAATCCTGAATACAAGAGTATCATCAAATTTTGAAAGTTAAACTATTTACCGCCTTTTGACCAACATTACCAATTTATGATTCCACCAACAGAGGGAGGTTAATTTACTGCGTTCTGGATGTTTTGTAGACAAAATTGGTCTTTGGTAAAGTAAACTTAACTTCCCTGTAAAGTGATTGTAAAAATTTAAAAGAAATTGACTGGATTATTTTAAGTGATCTACCATCTAACATACTCGATCTTCTTTATGCCTTTTTCTGATCAAAAATATGGAAATGCCCCTTTTTGAATTTTTTTAATTGATTTCATTTGCGGTTTGCTCTAAATACGTCACTTGCAGAGTTATACAGCAGAGGCAAGAAAGTAAATTTACAAAATGTATCTTGTCTTTCAAATAAAAACGTAGATAAATTCCTTTTTGTTACTCAGATAAATGTTTAAGGGAATATATCGAGCATGTAGCTTTTCAGTTGAAGTTTATTTGAAATTTCACAAACAGTCTCTTTTTCAGTCTAAAAAGAACAAGTGGACAATCCCATTGTACCCCTAGCTCCGTCCCATTGTACCCCTAGCTCCGTTCTCATAAAAAATAATCTTTTGTTTATTGTTATTATTTTCTTGTAAACCATTTTTTAAATGTAATAAAAACAGGACCTGGATCTGTTAAAAAAAGAGAAAATAAATAGTTTGAAAATACCAAATATAAAATGTATTTGGATAATACTAAAATGCTTGTGTTTGAAGAAGTTTATGTGTTTCAATTGTTAAATTATTAAAAGTCATCATATTTCTAATGATAATGCAAAAAATAGTTCAAATAACCAAAAACCAAACATTTTTACAAAATGTAAATGTTGCAACAAATTATTTGGTTCAAAAGAACACAAAAATATTCTATATAACCCAATATAAAATTGTTTAGCAAGGTATTTCCTTTTTTGTCATTATCGTTTTTTTTTATCTTATAAAAAAGCACAGCTTCCACTTACAAGTAAACTAAATTTGATTTTTTTTTTAAATTAGCAAAAACTGAAATTATTGAAGGCAATGACATCATGTCTGTTACTTACTGTATGATAAGTTCAAAAGCCCATATAGTTCAAATGACAATTATATTCCTTGTCATATGTAACCTGCAGGTTTAAATACGTGATTTAACATCAATTAATTGACCAAAAAAATTAACAGTGTTGGGGTGGAATTTAATGTTCTTGCACAAAAATAAAATTCAGGCCAAAATTTAATTTTCAAGATGGTTAAAAAATGAATATATGCTATCACATGGTTTAGCCAAATGTTACCTTGCTAAGCCTAGAAGCCGGTTTTCAAAGAGTACATTTCTATCAGCTGGTGCAACCGGACACGGTCCCGCGCTTTCCTCTCCCCCAGGGCAGATGTACTGTCTACAAAACCAGTTTAGTCAGAACACGTGGTGTTAAAAGTAAATTGATTAATCAGAGAGAAATTGTAAAGTTATAAGAAAAGAAAAATTAACAATATGAGAAAAATGCACCAGGACTAAATTACTTGAACAATGTTCACTAAGGTTAACTACTTCTCTTTGACTTGAAACGATACAACAACAAAAAGTGTTTAAACATAGTCTACAAATTACAAATACATTCTTACTATTCATTAAATTTAGTATTTAGCAGTACTATTACACGAAAGATTTTTTTAAATGTCAAATTTTTAACTACGCTTCAAATTTTAGCAGCCAATATTATGATTTATTGATTTGTTTTTGAAATGTGATAAGGATGTATTTATGTTTTCTTTTCCATTTGTATATTCCCAACTAAAGGTGTCAGATATAAAACATTTAATTAAGATATGTCAAGTCCAGATGTGTACACTGTAATCTTTACAAATAAAAACAATTTATGTACTTGTTTCCAGAAATGTATCGCGGGATGTAAATCTATGAAAAGTATGTAAATGCGTGTTAATTAGGTTTATATATTATATTTTCTATAGAAACAGATTTGTTCATAATTATATTAATGATGTAAGACCACAATGGATCAAAGCATTCCTTCTGCACCAATAATATATTTGTAATTTCTTATCTTGCTGAAGAAGAAAATACATAAAATGTATATTTAAAATAAAAATACATAAATTGTGATATTTAAACAATGTTGAATTGAGATGAAAGGGGCATTTAACTTTGGATAATGTTATGGAAAAAATAATGTACAAACAATTTTTTTGTGACATAAATGATGATAAAGAAAAAGGTATATGACCTGTTATCCCCTGAATTATACCAGTATTCCCAATGTATTCCATCCAGAAACTGGCCTTCCATCCACACCCAGAAATCGTCAATGCTTTCAACCTAAAAGATAATCTTAACATTAAGATGATTGTTCAGTTGTAGGATACATTAACTATTTATTAGTAGATTCTATTTATATTTATACAGGGTTACGAGGGTTACAGACATCGAAACGTCCAACCTAAAAAATTTGTGATTTTATTAAAATAAAGTATTGAATAAAGATCTTTGAATTCTTTCTATCTCTCTGTTTTTAAGAAAAGTTGAATTTATATTTCATTTTATTAATGACTTTTACAATAGTTCTACTTAACTATTTCATTTGTGTGAAGTTAAAAATATATTCTTATTTTAACAAAGAAGACGACAATAAACGGAAATGTTTAAGTCATGTGTCTATATTGTTACAGATTCAACAGATGATAGTTTAGCAAGTATACACGGACTCAGAACTTATATTTCTGTATAATAAAGCTTTTCGCTCATATATATATGAATATATATATATATGTAAGAAAGTCCCGGGAAAAAAAGTTTCTGGAAAAAAAAACCTGGGAAAAAAACTTTGGAAAAAAGTCCGAATTTTCTCAAGTCCTTGGAAAAATATCACTGGAAATAAAGTCCTGTGTTTTGGATTCCTGGGACTTTTCCTAACAATAGTATGGGGGCTGCCAATAAAGTCTCAGGAAATAAGATCTCAGGAAGAAAAGTCCGGAAGAAAATAAATCTGAGGAAAAGAAAAACCTAGAAAAAAAGTCCTAACTCTCGGGAAATATGAACTCAATAAGAAAAAAAGTCCTAAGAAAAGTTGTGTATAAAATCCCCCGTACAAGTGCACTATGTACATCATATACAGGGCCAGTTTTATATTCTTAAGTAATTTGAAAAAGAAAATGCTAACTAAACTCGTGATAAATATATACAAGTGTAATAAATATAATTTGAGAAGTTTTCATAAAAAGGACTTTTTTTCCATATCGATTATATATATAGCCAGGGGTGTTTAAATATTAAGCCCCTGAAACCCTACGATTATTGATAGGATGTTTACAACCAGGACTTTTTTGTGAATCATGCATTTTCACTTGTTAGAGGACTTTTTTTCCGAGGAACTTTTTTGCATAAAATTATACTGGAGTCAGAAAAAAAGTCCTAGAAAATAAAGTCTCGATTGGCAGGATTTTAATTCCGGAGACTTTTTAATAAAAGGGCTTTTTTCCACAGGACTTTTTTAGTGTGAAATTTTAGGAATTTATTTTCGGAAACTTTTTTCCAAGGACTTTTTTGGCGGTTACCTGTATGAATATATATTTGTATGTATGTACATGTATGTCAGCTATATTTGAATATTTTTTTCGAAATTCAATTTTATTTTATTCCACGGGCAACGCCGGGCACTTCAGGTAGTTTTCAAAATGTATACAATGTATTTTCATTTAAAATTGAGATTTAGCATTGTCAAATTATATCCATATTAGGACTCAGATCTTTTAAAATTGACACAAATTTTTTAAAACAGACTCATACTTCTTAAATAAAAATCTATACAGATTTCGAAAATGTCCATAAATTTTGATATCGAACTATATCAAGAGACCTATAGTAAGTACCAAAAAGATCGTTTTTTGTGACACCCTGTATATTTACTCATAAATGTTGTACCTGGGGTTGATCTGCGAATAGGTTCGTCATAACTTGAGTATAGTAGAAGTGAGTTGGTGAAGTCATTCCAAATGTAACTGAAACATTACATTCTTATTTTTGCATTAAAATTGTCAAATTATAGGTATTGTTGCATTAAACATTCATAAATCCTACCTAAGCTTGATTTGCTAAATTGAAAAAAAAATTAAATTTTAAGATTAAAATCTATCATGTAATCTGGAAGATAATTTTGTAAATTCGTGATACATAATAAGTTAAAGGAATAGTTTCCAATTTTCGTCTTTGAAGTTAAGATTGGCTTAGTTGTGTTCCCATTTAAAAAATATTTTTTGGTATTATGTGATATATTCGAAAACGTGAACAATCCCTTTAAAGGGAGTGTTCGCGAAAAATGAAAGGGGGTATAGGCTTACGGCGATAAATAACCGCTTCTGATCGCTACTAATCTTACTTCTATCCTATCTGTTGCGTCTATATAGAGAAAACTCCCTTTAAGCTATGCAAACCTATGGATATCACAGTACAATCCCTTTAAACTATACAAACCTATGGTTAGCACAGTAAACAATACCTTTAACCTATACCAACCTATGGATAGCACAGCACAGTCCCTTTAAATTATACCAACCTATGGATAACACAGTACAGTCCCACTAAACTATACCAACCTATGGATACCACAGTACAGTCCCTTTAAACTATACCAACCTATGGATATCACAGTACAGTCCCTCTAAACTATACCAACCTATGGATAGCACAGTACAGTTCCTCTAAACTATACCAACCTATGGATAGCACAGTACAGTCCCTCTAAACTAAACCAACCTATGGATAGCACAGTACAGTCCCTCTAAACTATACCAACCTATGGATAGCACAGTACAGTCCCTCTAAACTAAACCAACCTATGGATAGCACAGTACAGTCCCTCTAAACTATACCAACCTATTGATAGCACAATACAGTCCCTCTAAACTATACCAACCTATGGATAGCACAGTACAGTCCCTCTAAACTATACCCACCTATGGATAACACAGTACAGTCCCTCTAAACTAAACCAACCTATGGATAGCACAGTAAGGAATAGTATATAGACTACAAGTTCTCTGATAGTTGTTCGAACAAATATCTCTCTATCCTCGTTCACAGACATTTCTCGGGTTGACCACATTCCTCCAACGCAATGAGAGAAACTAAACAAGAAATATATAATTTCCCCTAACGCAAAATGTCTTTAGGATTTAAATTTCTCAGAAAAAGCAACAACTATGGTTTTGCTGATTCTAGAAACATTTGAAGTCTTTTATTGCGTAATTATTATAGTATGTTAGCCGGCATGCATCTGGCATGCTCATTGCTCATTGCTCATTGCTCACCCTCAATTTCAATTGAGATTAAAAATAGATTTCTGATAGATTCTGATATTTCACACTTTGTTTATTTGATCTAACATAATTCATAATTTGAAATATATAAGGTCTACTAAGGTCTATTAAGTTGCCTAGTTATAAGGATTGTAAAATTTAATTTTGTGGAAAAGACTCAAAACCTTTGTCAGTAGTTTTTGCGATTTTTATCTCACTTTAAGGCATTGAGCCATATAAAAATGAAAATGACATATTTTTGACGCAATATTTCGTAACTTTTTCTTTTCGTATATAACACAATTTCCGCTATTACTACAGAATAATAAATAAAAAATGGATTAAAATATAAAGTGTAGTGTACAATATAACATTATACTTTAGCGTTGTTTTATCTCACAAAGGACAAGACTTGAGACCATGATTTGAAGAAAAATCTGCCTTGTGCATTGTTATATCTAATCTTGGAAAGACTAAAAAGCTAAAAAGGTGGCATAAAAGAGTAATATTTTATATCTACACTAATTCCAACCTTTAGATTAGACTGAATAAAACCTTATCACTAAAGTCTGATTTCTTGTGGATATCTCTGTATTTTAGATTTCGTGTTACCTATGCCAGCATCCTTTCTCAGGTTCATCTACTCCTATCAGCAGAAAATCATCATCATCGTTAATAGCACTTCGAGGAGTAGAGGCTTCAGTCTCAGATTCATTCCAAGCCTAGATAATGGATGCGCTTAAGGAAAAATCAGTAATGATTACATTTCACATTCTTTGATTTTTAGTTTGAAACTTGATATCGTAGATCTTCGATAAACTACAAGACTGTGGAATAGAAAGAATATAGTTGACTCAAGTTATTATTTCGAATAGTCAAATTAACATAAAGGACATCGATTGTAAACTTTTTATGGACACTTTAAAGATATAAAACGTTGTAAAGATTCATGTATATGAACGTTTTACCTTTGAGCTCTTAGTGCTAATACTTGATGCCGGTCGGCTACTCATTCTGTAATAAACAATTAATAGTATATCTATAGTTCAAAAAATATATCATGTTAAAATATGATTTTTTTTCTTTTTTCTTTTGAAAAGTTTGATTTACGAAGTCAGAGTCTTTTAATTTTCCGACCCATCAAACAATTGGTCGCCACATGTTCATAAATAGAAATCAACAAGTTGTATAATTACCCTGTTGTCGGGCGACTAACATTGAGCCCGGTTGCTGGTCGACTTAATGCCAAACCAGTTGCTGGTCGACTTAATGCCACCCCTGAGGCTGGTCGACTTCCTGCCACCCCTGAGGCTGGTCGACTTCTGTTTGACATCGTGCTTTGAGGTCTACTAGGCTGCAGTCCGGAAACTTACAATAAAAAAGTAAATTCTAATATTTGATAAATCAGATTGATCCAGCATTCTGAACTCTTTTATCAGATTGATCCTTTATTCTGAACTCTTTTATCAGATTGATCCTTTATTCTGAACTCTTTTATCGTCAATTTTATGATTAGAGGATGCAAAACTAGGAAAATACCTGGCCTCGAGGTCCCAGTTCCTGGCCTAGATACAGCTGTAGGTTCTCCACCTTCTAAACAAACCAGAGCTGAACAATTAAGATTTGTGGATATCGAGATCAATGCTTGATCTCCTTTTTTTGTTAATCTTAAGATTATCTTAATTTTTAGTTTGTATTGAAGAAAGTTTCTAAAATTCAATCAATCAGAGTGGTGGAGGCAGAATCCCGAACAACCAATCAGAAGCTGGGGAATATTATAAATTGTCCGCGCCTTTTAATAAGAGAATTTTCATGGGTCGGAATCCAGTAGGGATATCCAAAAAGAGTGAACAGGGTGAATCAAGCAGAAACCAATTTACGGTTGATTTAATGACACCCAATGGATCTCATGGAGAAGCTGTATGTTTATATAAAGTGGGTTTGGAATGGGCTAAAGTATTTTTAACGTCTTTCATTGAAGAATAGGCATTGAAAATTAGTTTCATTTCTCCTAGTACACTTTTGAAGAAGAAACAATAAAGTTTACTAATATGTGTAAAATGTCTAAGTCAGGCAAATTGCAATTCTTGGTATTTATCTATATATATAAAGTAGTGTTCTCTATATGTCCGATCATAACTCAAGAACCCCGAAACCGATTTGCCTCAAATTTTGACTGAAGAACTAAGTAGAACCACGGGAATGTTCGTACCTTGGTTAAAAAGTTCTTATTTGAATATGTTGGCTCTAGTAAAGTAAACTTGGTTAAGCTGGGTTCCCAAGCCATGGTGTTTATATAAAGTAATACTTCTGTTTGGGTGTCTGTTTGTTTGTATGAACGATCATAACTCAGGAACCCCTGACTTATTTGCCAAAAATGTGTATTGGGGAACTACGGGAATATTCTTATTTTGGCCTAGAAATCCAATGTTGAGGAGGTTGACCTTTATAGAGAAAACGTAGTTGTCAGGAAAACCTGGATTTCAACGCTAGTTTATTTAACTCGTTGAACTCGGTGAAACCATGCAAGGGAATGTTCTTACTTGAGTGGGCACTGCGATTTAATGGTCTTTGGTTTAGGGTCAAAACTGGGTTCCTAAACTAGTTTACAATACAAATAAATCCAAATTGGTCTAATACGTCACAATCAGATGTAAACAATACGGCCCCATTCTCGTCTCTACTTTAAAATGAACCAAAATTCGTTCGATCAAAACGAACATTCTGTCTTTTCAAAAGCCTTGAAAAAAGTGCCAGGACGGTATAAAAAAACATCCTGAACTCGTAAAACCATTGAAGCATTAATTTCAGTTTTTTTCAGATAAATAAGATATATGAGGAGAGAAAAATCTATTAAGATTAATTACTTTTTTATTTCCCTCCCTCAAGAAAATGGTCGTTTACTAATCGAATTTATCACGTAACAGGGTTATGGGATCAGTTCAAAATACGGGGCACTTTAATAAAGTTTTACAGCGAGTTTCTGTCTAGACATGGTAGTTGAGCTGAGAATGCAGTATTGTAGAGAAATGTTTTAGGGTTCATTTGAAACCAGGTTGAGAAATTAAATCTTATCATCGAAAATAAGTAATATTATTCAGTTATTGGTTTCTGTAATGTCTCATTTTTCACAAACATTTTCTGTATACATTTCCTGGAATTTTTATTGAAAAGACAACATTTAAAGAATTTGAAGAAATTTGCGAACAGATTCTCAAAATCATCCCTCCAAAATTATCAATCTATGGGGATGTGAAAGATTGAATTTTCGCTAATGCTAAACAAATATGCACCGTAAAAAATTTGATTATAGGTCTCAAATTAATCCTAAAAAATTCTTTACAAAACTGCATTCTCAGCTCAACTACCTTGTCTAGCCAGACACTCTCTTTAAAATAATTGTTCTTCTCTGCTCTGCTTAATATAAATATATATCCATATAATTACTAACTTACCTTCATCAGACATTCTCTGGCTTAATTCTTTCTGAAACTTGTTCTTTATATTTTTTTTACTAATTCATTAGATGTGTAGACTCTTAAAATCTTTAATTCTTCACTTTTCTTCAGGGTTGATCTTTAATTCTTCACTTTTCTTCAGGGTTGACCAAAAGAATTGAGTCTTTGCCACAAGCTCAAATTTTCTCACTCCTATATCTTTGCAGCCTGATGGTGTAAACCTTTTATATTTTAAACTTAGATTATTTTATCCAACAGGATTCACAGTTTGAAATATCTAAGGTCTCCGACATTGGGTTGAAAGATACATGGATTATAAAATCAGTGTTTATGCCAACGACTCAATTTCTTTTCAGTTGTGACCGGAATGAAAAAGTTCATCCTAAAACATTATATTTACCACAAAGCACATGAAAATTAAACTCATTATATGATTTTTTACAGATGTCGCGATTTGCTCTTTTGATGATATTTTCTAAACCTTTTAAAACCCCCGAAGTTTGCTCTGTATACCATTTGCTTTCAGACCCAAAGAGGCTACAAAAGAATGGGAATGGGGTGATAGGAAGGATGTTTATACATATAGAAAGGGAAGGATATATATTAATAAGTAATAGAATAGATAGGGAATCGTAAACATATTGATAGGGAATTGTATACATATAGATAAGGAAGGGTATACACATAGATAAGAAATGGTAAACATATGGATAAGGAATGGAATACATATGGATAAGGAATGGTATACATATTACATATAGATAGGGAATGGTGTACATATAGATAAGGAATGGTATACATATTACATATAGATAGGGAATGGTGTACATATAGATAAGGAATGGTGTACATATAGATAAGGAATGGTGTACATAATCATATAGATAAGGAATGGTGTACATATAGATAAGGAATGGTATACATATAGATAAGTAATGGTATACATATATGTAGATAGGGAAGGGTATATAGATAAGGAATTGTATACATATATGTAGATAATGAATGGTATACATATATGTATAGGGAAGGGTATACATATAGATAGGGAAGGGTATACATATAGATATGGAAGGATGATGACTGATTAACGTATATTAACTGTGGTGTATAAAAGACAGTGCTTTCTGTATCCATCGTGATTTATACACAATCTTTTATTCAACACAGATACTGACAAACACACACACTCATAAACGTAAAACGAAAAGTAAGAATTACGAAAATGATTTATTTTAAGAATATATATTATCACACAAAGCTTGAATCAACAAATTTCAATTTTACTAAAACTCAAAATTTACCACAGTTCTTCAAATACAGGAGTAAAAATCCTTAATGTAATTATTTACCCCAGTCAATTCAGAAAAAATAAATAGTCTTTTCTTTAAATGCCGTCTTTGCTTGCAGTGTTAGGTCTGGATTCGGAATCGATTTTCATCATAAGGTCCTCCATCTCTTTACGCCTGTCATCTACAAAGACATGTGTGTCAATTTCTCTAAAAAAATGATCATTCTTTTAAGTGGTTGCACAGTTTACAGGGGTTGGAAGTTCTCTGGAAACATCGTAAAATGGCTGAACTCTTCGTAAATAAACTGCACTTTTTCTTGTTTCATTCATCATGATATGAAAATGAATATTCAAATATGAATTCAGTCTTTGCCACACACTCAAATTTTCTAATCCCTTTGCCTGTGTAACCTGATGGTGCAAACTTAGATTATTATCGAACAGAATTCACAGTTCGAAATATCTAAGGTCTACTACATTGGGTTAATTGTAAAGTTATAGAGATTGGAAAATCAAGGTTTGTGACAAAGACTTAATTCCCTTTTAAGAATATTTGACTTAAAGTTAAATCTATATATAAATTTGGCTTGTCTGTCTGGGTGTCTGTTTGTTTGTTTGTATCCAATAAACGTTAAAACCGATCGAGCACAAATTTTTTGTGGGACATCACGTGACCAAGGGAAGGTTTACGAATGATAAAAATAAAAAATAAATGTATTTTTTATTTTGTTAAAAAAAAAATTCTTGAAAATCCGCGAATTTTTTTTTTAAATCCACGAAATTTTTTTCTTCTTTGTTTTAAAATGTAAACAAAAAGAACATGTTCACAATTTAAATAGAAGATGGGCGCGAAGCGCCCTAAAAGCCTAATAATAAAAAATATGAAAGACACGTTGTCCGAAAAAGAATTTACATCATACCATCCAGAATCCCATCTAACATCTTCCCCATCGTAGCTTTACGCCTTGCTTTATTCCTCTCCATAGTCTCAAGCTTGATAAGAACAACATCAATCTTGGATACTATATTGTGAACTACACTTTCCATTCTATCCACTCGTTTATTCAGCCTTAAACAATATCATTTTACAGGGTTAGAATTGAAAAGGTGAACTCATATTTCAATCTCTTTAAAGGGTTATTGGCATTTTAACCTTGTTTTGACAGCTAATGTTAATATATTAACTTAACTAGCTTAAATGAAATTCACTAAAACATCTAGCTTACATGTTTAACTCATAAAAAGGGTTTATGTTTAAGACAATATGCTGATTTAGAATAAAAGAGACACACAATTGATGTTAAACAGTTATATTACTAAGAAACAATTTCTTACATGTTAAACTCTTCAAAGTTTACAACTCCGTATGCTCCAGTCATTGGTCTCCACTGAGCAGCAGATCTAGTTGGTCTGCTAGCTTCCTCGAGATCAGCCTCCAAAATATCCTCAAAAACTGGTTCAACCTCAAAATTGAGATAACATTAGGAATTTAATGTTCATTAACCTCAATAAAAGTCTGGCACTGTTAAGATAAACCCTAACATTAAAAAAATTTATAATTTCTTACAGAATTTTAGTATTTTCCAAATGCTTTCAGTCAGTTGTATATTACATCAAAATTATAAGTTTTTTTTCAAAATTTTCTTACACGTCTATCCAATTGATCATTTTCCAGATCTGCCATGATATGGGCGCCCTCTTCCATCGAGAAAATACCATCTCCATCTATATCATAGTTCGCAAACAACATCTCGATCTCAAGATCAGAAAAATTACACCTGAAAATATTAATTCATAATATCTAAACATTCTTGACAAATATATAGCACTTACTTTTTCAGGTTTTGTCTAACTTCTTGATAAGTTACACTGCCGTTATCATTGGCCAGTTTTAAAGCATTCATGATATCGATTAGCTTGCTACGCATCCCAACTTTACCCAGCATATTGTTATATCCTTTCATGAAGTAGTCTCCAACCTCAAAGTCATGTTGTTGTTCCGCTAGATCAGCTTTAACTTCACTATAGGAGTCGTTGATGATAGCCAGAAACATATTGAGTAGGACAAAAAACACGAAGAACACATAGCAAATGAAATACAGAGGACCGAAGAATGGACTGGTCTGGGTCAAGGATGGGAAATCAAAGTCTCCAAGTATGATTCTAAGTAGAGTAAACACTGCAGTTCCAAAAGTGCTGTAATCAAGCAGGCTGCCTCCAAACATTAAGTAACCAAGTTGGGCAAAGGCGAAGAATACAATAAAGAACATCACCATAAACCCTAGAATATCCAAAGAACATTTTGACAGTGTGTTTGTCAATTGAGTCATGGTTTTATTGAATGAAATGTATTTGAAGAGTTTAACCCATGAGAAAAAAACACAGATTGCAACAACGGACTTGAACATTTCTGAAGCATCTCCAAGGCCTTGAAAGTCTGCATAGGTATCAGGCTCCGAGAGTAGCTTAACTATCTCAGTTTCTACTGTAAAGTACGTGTAAAGATTCAAAGACTGGTTTACCACTGAGAGAAAAACAACTGCAATGTCCAAGTGATTCCAAACTACTTTGAAGTAGGCCATTCGTACTTTAATAATCTCCAATATCTCCTCAATAATGTAGTAAATAATCAGAATCACATAGATAACTTCACAAGCCATAATGAAATAGTCGGCGGAGTTGACATATCTCAAAAGCTTGACAGTTTTGAAAGAGGCATCTGGGAGGACTCCCCCGGTCGGGGGGAATTCAAACAACATATTGATTACACAGAACAGATTCAAGTTTGCATTGTAGAGTGTAAAATCAATCATAACAGCTCTAGTGCTCCTACTGATCCAGAGTGCTTCCTTGAGCTCATGAAGGATATCTTGAGATGAATTCTTGTCCGAACCAAGGTTTTGAACAGCTCCATTTCCGGAGTAGGTTCCAACCTACCATAGTATAAGATTTTAATTAAATCTTTGAATTTGCAATTGAATATTTGGATTGTAATTACAGGGAATGTCTATACGTTTTAAAACGAAGGAATTATCCTTTTGTATTAAAACATACTTTAGACTTAATATCCAGACATTTGATCAAAATAACACAAATAAGCTTTTTTGACAACGTAAAATGTGACTTCTTGAGTGGTAGGATATATTTAATTGCGTACAAAAATCAAGGTATTATGCGTGATGTTTTAAAGGGACTGTAAGCGTAATCTTAAGTGGCCCTCCATGCGAAGATGTCAATGCCCGATTCACAATCGTCATAATTCGAAATTTTCAATTCAGATATTTCTCCATTGCTTCTTATAAGCAAGAAATGCGCAATTTACTTACGCAGATAACCCTCAAATGAAGGTTAAAATTTTATTGAGACAAAAACATGGATATCTTATTCATACTTGATTAGACAAAACCTTCATGGGTACCGTTGTGAATTCAGCATTGCCATCTTTGCATGGAAATTCACTTAAAAATTAATTTTTTTGAAACTTTAGTTTTTTGTATCTACCTCTCCAGTGATAGCTAGATTAACCACCCCCAAATCTTCTGCTGTATTATAAGACCATGCTTTTATATCTGTTTTACTCCTTTTTAGATTTGAAAAATTAGAAAATGAGAAATCTGATACGTTTTTTCAATATAATATTGAATATAATCATATTATTATAAAACAGGGTGTTTTTTTAAATGTCAATTTTAAACGCTTATAACTCCATCAATTTGAAAGATATCCAAGTTCTGTAAAAAGCTAATGAAAGATGAGATTGGCACTTTTGATTATTATTGAGTGTTCGAAATGCCCGCCAGCCATGGTAGCAAATTTTAACTGTCTATGAATTGTCAGCAAACGAAGTAGTGTATCTGTTGGAATTCGGGATGCATCTATACTCAACATCCTCTTTTGCTCAGGGGTTGTTTTAGATAACCTCTGATTAATTTCGGCCTCTGAACTTCAGAGGCCGAAATTAATCAGAGGTTATCTAAAACAACCCCGAAGCAAAAGAGGATGTTGAGAGTCTGAAGACCCCAGAAGTAAAAATCCAAGTGGTTCAAGTCAAAAATGTTTGTTACGATTTAATGAATTTGCATATTTCTCTTTTTCTGTTTGCGAATTTTTATAATATATTAACAAAAGTGCCAATCTTAATCTTTAATTAGCTTTTGAGAGAACTTAACTTTAAAAGTAATGGAGTTATTTGCGTTTGAAAATTGACTTTTAAAAATACCCTGTATTATCATAATATAAAGGTTATATCATTATAATATAAGGATTATATTAGTATAATATAAAGATTATATTATTACAATATAAGGATTATATTAGTATAATATAAAGATTATATTAGTATAATATAAAGATTATATTAGTATAATATAAAGATTATATTACTATTAAGATATTTACCAACCTGTAACCAGGAAAAAAATCTGATTTATCCTCATATGCTTCATCGTACTGGGCCCAACAACTCAAAATGGTTCCTTGAAAGTTGGATGGAATTTCACAGGAATCATTTCGAACGCGCAGCTGTCTCAATCTAGAATTATCATTACATTTACACCCTGAGGATTGTATTGTAGATTATTCTAAACCTCACTTAGCTAACCCTAGAGGATTATATTGTAGTTTATTTTATACCTTACTAATCCTAGAGGATTGAATTGTAGTTTATTGAATACCTTGCTAATCCTAGAGTATTGTATTGTAGTTTATTGTATACCTTGCTAATCCTAGAGGATTGTATTGTAGTTTATTTTATACCTTGCTAATCCTAGAGGATTGTATTGTAGTTTATTGTATACCTTGCTAATCCTAGAGTATTGTATTGTAGTTTATTGTATACCTTGCTAATCCTAGAGGATTGTATTGTAGTTTATTGTATACCTTGCTAATCCTAGGAGCTTGTTTTCAAACAAAACATTTCGGTCCGAGGGAGAAGTTTCACAAGGTCCACCAGTTTCTTCTCCTCCAGGACAGATAAAGTTTCTGTTGAAAAAAAAAACACTTTAAAAGAATGTAAAAAAGAACTGAGTTCAAGCTACAAACTCAAATTTTCTAATCCCTTTTTTTGCAACCTGATGGCGTAAACCTATGATATTTCAAACTTAGACCAGTTGATCTAATAGAAGTATTAATTTGATATATCTAAGGTTTACTAACATTAGGTTGCAAAGATATAGGGATAAGAAAATTTGAATAAATGGCAAGTACTCAATTTCTTTGCAAAAGGAACTGTCACTGTGATTTTAAGTTTATACTAAATTGTCATAAATGATTCACAAGGATAACCTTATATCACTGTCTTGGAAATAATTTTGTGGTTATGTATGTACCGAGGTATGTATGTACCTAGGGCTATAAAACTACTTGAGAATTTTAACATGTTCCAATACATCGTGTCTCAGATTATGGTTAAACATGTTTTTGTCTTATTTATTAAGCTTAAAGGAATAGGAACATGAAGGTAAAAATAGGTATTAACGGAAACACAGTTTTATCTTTCACGAACACTCCCTTTAATATTCCTAATCAGAACTAATATTAATTATTAAGTTAACCTGTCATCTCCTTGGTTATACCAATACTCCCAGTGTAAACCATCAAGGAGAGGTCCCTCAACATATTCCCAAAATCCATTGATGTCTTGAACCTAGAAAGAAAAACTTTTGGGAATTCTAAAAAACACAAAACTAAAAAAACGTTACGTTTAAAGGAATTAGCTCAAATTTTCGAATTCTTTTATCTTTGCAACCAGATGATGTAAACCTCTGATATTTCAAAATTAGATCATTTGATGTTACATTATTCATAGTTCAAAATATATTTAAGGTTTTCAACATCGGGTTGTCGAGACATAGGGATAGGAAAGTTTCAGGCAAAGGCTCAATTCTTTTACTATAAATACTCTGCCCAAAAAGTAAATTATCATTATTATTATTATTGCTATTATACTGCGGAAATACCTCTTGCTGAGCACTAAACAGGTCCTGAAGTACTTTAGTGTAGTAATAGTGAGAAGGTGATGTCATTCCAAAACTAACTGAACAATGTTTTTTACAGGTTAAAAACTGTTAGTTGGATTTGGTTGATACAGAAAAGAGATGTTTGGTACTTTCCCAAAGGCATTTCCCAATTGGTATCTTCCCAAGGAAACTTTCCCATGTGCCAACTTCCCAAATGTGCAATTTCCCAAACGGCAACTTCCAAAGTCTTCCCTAGCCTCAGCCATCAGCCCCTAAGCTATTCTAGCCGCAGCGCTCAGCCCATCCAGCCCGTCCTATCCCCAGTGCTCGGCCCCCATTGCATCCTGCGGCGCCTTAGAAGGTCTAACCTAACCTTTGGGATTGGGAAGTTGCCGCTTGGGAAATTGTACGACGTTTGGGAAGTTGCCACTTGGATAATTGTCACTTTGGAAGTCGCCCTTAGGAAAATGGGTTTGGAAAATACCTAACACTAGAAAAGATACCTATTGAAAGGATCAAAAGAAAGATTGAGTACACGACCAACTCTCGAATTGAGATCTGTACATTCATTTCTTTATTCTCTGTAGTTTCTTTAATGTCCTTGGTTGACCAAAATCCAGCAACACATGTGGAAAACCTAAAAAAGAAAGGAATTCAGTTTTTGTCACAAAATCTGGTTTTCTAATCCCATATATCTTTGCTACTCAGTACTCAGTGTCTCAGACCTTAGATATTTCAAAGTCTGAATTCTCTCAGAACAAGATTGAAATAACAAAGGTGTTTACCATCAGGTGCCAAATTTATAGGGATTAGGAAATTTAAGTTTGTAGCAAAGACTCAATTCCTTTCATAATAATTGACTTATTTTTAAAGTAAAAGGACACCCCCCCCCCCTTGTTTTCAATTAATTAAATTTATAAAGTGGAATCTCCAATTCTGAACAGTTTAAAATCTTTTTTAATCAGGAATAAACCAGATATTCTTGTAAAACATAGATTATTTTCATATGTTGTTTTGCTGCTGTAAAACTGACTTTCGGATTTATAGCAGCAGCAGAGATGATGGAAGGAAATGGTCAGAATGATGATATCGTCCCTATTGTTAACCGATAAAGGTTTAAAGATCAAGGTTGTGAATTAGACTGCTCTTTTTACATACAGGGTGTCCCACGAAACATGACAATAGCAAGACGACTTGAAAGTCGTCTTTGGTATTTGAATTTATTTGTGACATTTATTCTTCTATCTACTTTAACATGTATGATTCTTGAAACAATTATCACATAGTTCTCCTAGCCCTGGCATTTCCAAAAAGTGGTCTGCGTTTTTTGTGATTTCAATATTACCGGAGATATAAAGAGTTTGGTTCAGATTTCAATTTTGATTTAAATAAAAGCAAAATTGTCGAAATCTGAACAAAATTCTTCATATCTCGGGCAATATTGAAAGCAAAAAAAAGGCAGACCACATTTTGGAAATGGCAGGACAAGGGAAATTTTGTGATTATTATCTCTAGAAATTTACTTCTAAAATTAGGTCGACAAATAAACGCAGCTAATTATATCAAAAATCAAGACGACATTCAAGTCGTCCTGCATACTGTCATGTTTCGTGGGACACCCTGTATTTAAATATTGGGTCACTTGAAAATACGTGTACAGTCCCTTTGCAGAATCTGTAAAGGTTAATTCAAATATTTATATGACAATGATTACTTGTTCCAGCAACCAGTCTTCAGATCTTCATCTTGGATTAAAGGAGATTCATCAGCACTAATTTCACTTCGTGGAGAAGATAGAGTCTCTGATTCATTCCAGGCCTAAACGTAGGATTAAAGCAAGAGTTTTCAAAATCTTGAAGAGAAGCAAATATTGAATTTACCTTAGAGCTTTTTGTGCTTATGCCTGACAATGGCCTGCTTGACCTAAAGCATCTAATTATCAAACGTTGTTCTTATTTAAAACATAGATCTAAATATATGAATTGAGTTTAAATGAATGACCTGCCAGATCCAGCACGACTAAATGCTACTCCAGATACAGGACGGCTAGAAACCATAGCTGAAGCAGGACGGCTATACACTGCAGCTGAAGCAGGACGGCTCGCAGAAGAAGAAGGATGGCTTGTAGATGATGCAGGACGACTTACGGATGAACCAGGACGGCTTGGCGCTGCTGCTGAAGTAGGACGGCTTGAAGCTACTGCTGAAGCTGGACGGCTTGTGGTTGCTGCTGTAGCAGGACGGCTCTTGACTGCTCCGGAAGCAGGACGGCTTGTGGCTGCTGCTGAAGCAGGACGGCTCGCCACTGCAGCAGAACCAGGACGGCTGGATACTTCAGCTGAACCTATGAAGTTGGAGTTATGGGAGATGCCATTATTCTAAAATTGATATTTAAGAAGAGCAAACTTCAAATTTATGTTTTTTACCTTCATTATCCATGTTGAAAGTTTAGTTTTCTGAAAAGCAAACTTCTTAAATAGCAGTTAAACATTGTCAAATTTCACTTTACATTATATTGTTTCCTCATATTTGTTACTTTGTCTTGTTACACAAATTTTTAACTTTTTGTATTTTCAATTTACTTATAATTGGATTTGCTGAATATTTATCAAGATTATATCAAAATCACTTTGTCTGAAAATCTGACTTGAAAATAAAAAGCACGATCACTTTAAATGATCTATAGCAAAGCAATACGAATTAACTAAGTTTTAATTAAAGTTGCTTAATTTTTGGCGTTGAACAAAAAATAAACAAATAAAAAAGTTTAAATATCTACAGACAGTGGCCATTATTCTTTCGCTAAACAAATGGAATATGAAGAAAGGTAATTGTATAAACCATGGACAACTAAATAATTTTAAAAAAATTATTCAATATTATTCTCAGCATTCTCTTCAGGTGTTTCAATTATCTCCATTTCATCATCTAAAATGTTAATTTCGTAAATTTATAAATTATTCAATAACTTTATATACTAAACAATGCAATACCTGTCTCCTCCTTTGTGATTCCTTCAAATATTTTGAACATCGTTTCCTTTCTCTTTTCTTTGGATAGTTCTATTCCTTCAAGTTTGATAAGAACCATGTCAATTTTAGCCACTATGTTACCAATAACACCCTACCTGTTACAAATCATGTCAATTTTAGCCACTATGTTACCAATAACACCTTCCATTTCATCAACCATCTGGGTCAACCTGTTACAAATCAAGTCAATTTTAGGGACTATGTTACCAATAACACCCTCCATTTCATCAACCTTCAGGGTCAACCTGTTACGAATCATGTCAATTTTAGGCACTATGTTACCAATAACACCCTCCATTTCATCAACCTTCTGGGTCAACCTGTTACAAATCATGTCAATTTAAGCCACTATGCTACCAATAACACCCTCAATTTCAACAACCATCTGGAACAACCTGTTAAAAATCATGCTAATTTAAGCCACTACCAATAACACCCTCCATTTCATCAACCTTCTGGGTCAACCTGTTACAAATCATGTCAATTTTAGCCACTATGTTACCAATAACACCCTCCATTTCATCAACCTTCAGGGTCAACCTGTTACGAATCATGTCAATTTTACATTTCATCAACCTTCTGGGTCAACCTGTTACAAATCATGTCAATTTTAGCCACTATGTTACCAATAACACCCTCTGGGTCAACCTGGAACAAATCATGAAGGTTAAAAGAATAAATTATGTGTTAGATTGATTAATATATATTTATCCCTGCAAAGGTGGGATTTAGCATATTTTGACTTAATTCCATTTTTCAAATGCTCGATTCGACAAAAGTTTTAGAACTATGTTATCTTACTTATTAGAATCTATTCCTTAAAAATGTGGGCATCTCCCATTTGACATTTTTTAAGCCAATTCAATGAAATTTACGATTTAAACAAGTTGAAATCTTACACAGCAAACTGTTCTACACTGGTTACACTTGAACTGTTGTTGTTGAATCTTGCTGATCTTAATCTAACAGATTGGGCTCTCATTGCCCTTGCCTCCTTACCAGACTTGGGTCTTCCCTACAAACCAGTCAAATTTAGATTTTTAATCAAATTAGATTTTTTATGCAATTGTGATTTTTTATGCAAATGTGATTTTTTATTCAATTGTGATTTTTTATGCAATTGTAATTTTTATTTCAAAGATTCTGATATTTTGATTACCTCATATGGATCTTGTGAATTGTTGGATAAATATCCTCCTTCGTAATCTTCGTTTAGATCATATTTTTGGAAAAACATCTCTATCTCTAGATCGGAAAAATTGCACCTTAAAACAAATAATGTGTTTTAACACTTTCTTTACCTCTAATATAATTTCACCTACTTTTTCAGTTGCTCTCTGATATCACTGCGAGTTATTTCTTCTTCGCTATTAGGATCCTTTGCTGAATTAACAATGTCTTGCAGCTTGTTCTTTATCCCAACCTTTCTCAATAGTTTGGTGAAACCTTTTCTTACATAATCACCAAGTTCAAACTCATTTTCTTGAGATGCCAGGTCTGCTTTCACCTCTCCGTAAGTGTCGTTAATAATTGCCAAGAACATATTGAGCAAGACGAAGAACACAAAGAATACGTAGGACATGAAGTATATAGGTCCAAGTAATCTATTAGCCCTGTCTAAAGAATCAAAATCAAAGTCTCCAAGTATAAGCCTGAGCAAGGTGAACAATGTTACTGTAAAGCCACCGTAATTATTTACTTGAGTTCCAAACAGAAGGAATCCAAGCTGAGCAAAAGCAAAGAAGATGATGAAGAACATGACTGAAAATGCAACAAGATCTCCTGATGATCTTGAAAGTGTTGTTGTGAGCTGTGTCATTGTTTTGTTAAAGGAAACATATTTAAACAGTTTAATCCAACCAAAAAACGAACACAGTGTCAGACATGTAGTAAAGATATAATACAAATTTCCAATCATTCTAAAATCTGGATATGATTCAGGTTTAAGGAGGATTTCTCCTATTTGAGTCTCCACTGTAAGGTGAAGATAAATATTGAGGGACTGGCTAATAATTGACAAAACCAGCACAATAATATCCATATCGTTCCAAAACCCCTTGAAGTAATCCAACCCACACTTCTTAATCTCCAGTATCTCTTCAACAATGTAGTACAGCACAAATGTAAAGTATATGATTTCACAGACAAAGATGAAGTAATCATATGTGTTCACGTAACGAAGAAGTTTAACAGTGTTAAAATCTGAGCTGGCCAAAACACCTCCAGTGGCAGGAAACTCAAACAGAAAGTTAGTCACACAGAAAGCGTTGATATTAACATTGTAAACGGTAAAATCTATCATTACTGCCCTTGTACTGCGTCCGATCCAACGCAGATTTTTCAGTTCCATTAAGATTCTGTTGGTTTCGTTTCGGTTTTGACCGAGATTTTGAATTGATCCATGTCCTGAGTACGTTCCAACCTAGATTTTTGCAGACTATTTGTATTGATGACTCCTGATCTTTAATATTTCAATTTTTAATACGTTGAAAATCTCACCTTTCCAGAAATTGCCACATTCGACACGTCCATTTGATCTGCGGTTTGATACGACCATGCTCTTTCGTCCGTGAATGTCCTAAAAAGTAAATTTTCTTATTTTGACAACTGGATTTAAAAGAACTGTAATCGTACTTTAAAGTTACCATGCCATGCAAAGATGACAATGATCGATTTGCAACGGTAACATTAAAATCTTAATCAGATAAAAAATGTGGACGAAATCGACGCTTTTCAAGAAATGCACAATTTTCCTTTTTGCAGAGAAACCGCAAATGAAAATAAACGGTTTACAGAAACAAAAACATTGATATCTTAATTCATATTTGATTGGAAAAAGCTTTCAACGCTTTTCTTTGAATGGAGGGTATTTGAAATAACGCTTACAGTCCCTTTACAATCCCTTTACAGTCCCTTTGCAATCCCTTTACAATCCCTTTACAGTCCCCTTACAGTCCCTTTACAGTCCCTTTACAGTCCCTTTACAATCCCTTTACAGTCCTTTTACAGTCCCTATACAGTCCCTTTTCAGTCCCTTTACAATCCCTTTACAGTCGCTTTACAGTCCCTTTACAATCCCTTTACAGTCCCTTTACAGTCCCTTTACAGTCCCTTTACAATCCCTTTACAATCTCTTTACAATCCCTTTACAGTCCCTTTACAGTCCCTTTACAATCCCTTTACAATCTCTTTACAATCCCTTTACAGTCCCTTTACAGTCCCTTTACAGTCCCTTTGCAATCCCTTTACAATCCCTTTACAGTCCCTTTACAGTCCTCTTTACAATCCCTTTACAGTCCCTTTACAGTCCCTTTACAGTCCCTTTGCAATCCCTTTACAATCCCTTTACAGTCCCTTTACAGTCCCTATACAGTCCCTTTTCAGTCCCTTTACAATCCCTTTACAATCCCTTTACAGCCGCTTTACAGTCCCTTTACAGTCCCTTTACAATCCCTTTACAGTCCCTTTACAGTCCCTTTACAATCCCTTTCCAATCTATTTACAATCCCTTTACAGTCCCTTTACAGTCCCTTTACATTCCCTTTACAATCCCTTTACAATCTCTTTACAATCCCTTTACAGTCCCTTTACAGTCCCTTTACAGTCCCTTTACAATCCCTTTACAATCCCTTTTCAGTCCCTTTACGGTCCCTTTAGCTAATAGAGTCAGTGTTACTAACAGATACTAACAGATGTTAGCGGAAAAGTGATATTTGTTAAAGGTATTACCTGGCCTTCTTAGGAAGAAAGCTTGATGTATCTTCAAGGCTCTCCTCATAAGGAGCCCAGCAGTTCAAGATAACTCCGCTAAAGTCCTCAGGTATTGTACATGTCTGATCTTTAACTCTTAATTGTCGTAATCTGTAAGCAATAAATGTTTTTAGTCAGTTTCATATGTTGAATTAAAGAAACTGAGTTCTGGTCACAAGCTCAAATTTTCTAATCCCTATATCTTTGTAACCTGTTGTAATAAACCTTCGATATTTAAACTTTGACTATTTGATCTAACAGAATTCACGGTTTGAAATATGAAAGGTCTGTGACATTAGGCTGCAAATATTTCGGGATTAAAAAATTAGAGTGTGTGGCAAGAACTCATTTCCGTTATTAAAATTAATACCTTGCCCGTCCTAACACCTTGTTTTCATACAAAATATTCCTGTTCTGATCAGATAGTTCACATGGTCCTATTTGCTCATCCTCGGATTTGCAAACATAGCTCCTGAATTATACAGGGTTACCCACAAAGAATGAGACTTCATAGACTACTGACCATGCGCTGTATGAATTTAAACTGCATATCTGTTTCCTTACATTATTAATTAATGGTTCCCTAAATCTTTTAAGTTGATTCTTTCATTTCCCAATCAGTTAGACAGGCGGAGGCCACAAAAACAATTTATTTAGGCAAAGATTATATTGACTTAGCAAGGGCGATTTCATTAGTGCTTGTCTTCCAAGGGTAAAAATAATTGTGTCTGCTCTTCAACAGAATTACCTGAAGTCTCCATCATTATAATATTCCTCCCAAAAAAGTCCATCCAGAAGTTGACCTTCCATGAACTCCCAAAACGAATCAGCATTGTGAACCTATCAACCAGTTTATTTAAACAGATATCTTTTATCATTCAGATATGCATCATTTTTTTTTTTAAATCCTATATTAGGGACCTCTTTGCTGATATTCAAATTTCATTGGGCAACCTGAGCTGAGATATTAAAAGAAAAGCCAAACCTACTTTAAGCTTAGAATTTGAAAAGACCAAGTCTTAGGATGGCATCTGATTGGTTCTGATTCAGCAAATGAGAGATGATTTTAAAATTATGTCAGCATATAATATGAATAATTAGCTAATAGATCCAGATGTGCTGCAGTGTAAAGAAATTGAGTCTTTGCCAGAACACAAATTTTCTAATCCTTTCATCTTTGCATCCTGATGATGTAAATCTTTGATATTTCAAGCTTAGATTTGATAAAACCGAATTCATAGTTTGAAATTCTTAGGTCTCCGACATTGGGTTTTAAAGATATTGGGATTAGAAAATGAGAGTTAATGGCAAAAACTCAATTCCATTCTAAAACTCAAAGTATACAGAGAAACCCCCAATAAACTAGGGCGGTTTTACTTGAAACCCAAGTCTTCACTTGGTCTTTACTTGGACGTAAATAGACATTAAATCTGGATTTTACTCGGGTTAAAGCTTTTAAAAATTTCAGCTCTGGTATATTTAATAAACAATATTAAAAAATACACTAGCTTGAAGAAAGCTAGGAAAATAAGAAAAAACTTTGTTGTAAAATGGTAAAGATTCTCTCGTACAGTAATGTAAGCACGGAACTTTTGAAAGGTAGATATCGGGATTAATGCTTGATCCAGTCTTTTTCTTAATCTCGAGATTAAATTATGCTTGTTCTCCTCTTGTTATCTCCAAATTAATTAACCGATCGGGATTAAGAATATCCCATTCCGAAGTTTTCTGGTATTTATGTATTGCACTATTCATAGATATCACATGAAAATTCAAGGCTCATGATGAAGCATGCCAGGTTTATATAATTTAATTTGTATGCTTTGAAATAAAATCAAATATTATGAAGAAAATAACCTCAAGTTGATCAGTAAACTGATTTCCCAACATCGTCTTAAAATGGTAGTAAATAGGAGAAGTCATGCTGAACGTAACTGAATAATAAAATAAAATCAGTAAAATTGACCAAATTTCAAATTAATTCCGAATTACCAATGCTTAGCATGAGAAGAAATACAGAGTACACAACGAGCTCTCTAATAGTGGTTTTCACAACAACCTCTTCTTCTTCATCCTCGTCCATCAGCTCTTTAGTATACCAAATACTAAAGAAAGAAATTCTTAGGAATTGATCGGAAAGCATTCACGGAGGAAAAAAAACTTACTTGTAAATACAGGGTTTCTTCTTTTTCTCAGTTTTCTCATTGGACTCCAGTGTGAGTATATCTGGCTCATCAGACTGGATAATTTATTAGAATAGAGTTATAAATATAGTTTTAAATAGAGTTATACATAGAGTTATAAATAGAGTTATAATTTAAATAGATTTATAAATAGAGTTATAAATATAGTTTTAAATAGAGTTATATAAAGAGTTTTAAATAGAGTTATAAATAGAGTTATAAATATAGTTATGAATAGAGTTATGAATAAAGTTATAGATAGAGTTTTAAATAGTGTTATACATAGAGTTAAAAATAAAGTTTAAATAGAGTTATATATAGAGTTATAAATAGAGTTATAAATAGATTTATAAATAGAATTATAAATAGAGTTATAAATAGATTTATAAATAGAGTTATATACAGAGTTATAAATAGAGTTATAGATAGAGTTATTAATAATGTTATAAATAGAGTTATTAATAGTGTTATAAATAGAGTTATAAATAGAGTTATGAATAGAGTTATGAATAGAGTTATGAATAAAGTTATAGATAGAGTTTTAAATAGTGTTATACATAGAGTTAAAAATAAAGTTAAAGATTTAGAGCTATAAATCAAATCCACCTGGACAGCCTACATTTTGTTATACCTAAAACTTGCTGGGTACACTATACACTGGGTAGTGGGTACACCAAGTAAATAAATGTATAGTGCTGTTACATTAAACTATTAAATCCTTGTAAGAGTTCGAATCATACAACTCTTGGACGAAAGTTACCTCTGCGATCATGCTTTGAGTTCTTGACCCTGGACGGCTAGATGTAGCTCCTGATGCAGGTCGGCTAGATGTGGCTCTTGATTCAGGTCTGCTAGATGCAGCGCTAGTAGCAGGTCGGCTAGATACAGCTCCTGTTGCTGGTCGGCTAATCGCAGCCCCAGAAACAGGTCGGCTAGCATCGGCTCCGGACGCAGGTCGGCTAGCCTCAGCTCCGGACACAGGTCGGCTACCTCCAGCTCCGGATGCAGGACGGCTAGGCTCGGCTCCGGAAGCAGGTCGGCTACCTCCAGCACCAGATGCAGGTCGGCTACCGACATCTTCCGAATCCTCCAGACTGGGGGTTATGCCTAGACAGATAAGTTAGACATTGAATCCAAAATTCCATAAATTCATAAATCTCTTAAATTCTGACTTAACTCTCTATCTAACCTTTCACCGGATCTTCCATAACCTGTTGAAATTCTTAAACAACTATTGCATAAATAATCAAAAAAATAGTTTTTTAAAAAAAGCTAAACATGTGAAAATATTTTTTGGTGACCTCCTTTTGTAGAGTGGCGTGTCTGATTTTATTTAATCTACTCAAATGCTTGTAATTGTTAAACATTCTGTTTGCAACCTGTATTTTATTCAAGAAATTTTAATATTTACTTTATAGAAGTCAATTTAAAATAAATATTTTTATCCAAATTTTTAAAGGAAGAATTGGGTTTATGTCTTATATACATTTTCTTATTTTTACCTTCATCGACCATGTTTTTTTTTTATTTTACTGTCTGTTTAGCTCTACAACAAACAATATATTTTTAAGTTAGTTCTGTTTTATTCTAGTTCATCTTCTGTATTGTTAAGGTTTCTGTTCTGTATTATTCTAGCTCATGTTTTGTATTATAATAGTTCATGTTCATTATTCTGGTTCATGTTCTGTATTTTTCTAGTTTATGTTCTGTATTATTCTAGTTCATGTTCTGTATTATTCTAGTTCATGTTCTGTATTATTCTGGTTCATGTTCTGTATTATTCTGTATTATTCTAGTTTATTTTCTGTATTATTCTAGTTCATGTTCTGTATTATTCTAGTTCATGTTCTGTATTATTCTGGTTCATGTTCTGTATTATTCTTTTCTAGTTCATGTTAGGGATTATTCTACTTCAGGTCAAGGATTATTCTAATTATGTATTCTAATAATGTAGGTTTTTATTCATGTTCATCATTAAACATCAAATTCTAAAATGTATATCATGTATGTCATTGTTAAATGTGAATCAGTTTTGTTTGATACTCATTTACGGTTTTTATTTATTTTTGTAAGAAGTAAATATTATAAGCTACTCTTTTTTCAAACAATTCAAGTAAAAGAGGTTTTCATGCATAGTTTAGGTCAAAGACTGGCCAACCCATAATAAAGAATAATTGGTTGCTACCGTACACCGCTTTATTTGCATTTTGAAAGCTGAGGGACAGGTTGAAATCCATTTTCGAGGAGTTTTAACCAGAACATTGAAACATTATAATAAATCAAAACTGGGTTTAGAATATCCAACAGTGCAAAACAGATAAAAAAAATTTGAATTATATGCAGGGTGTCCTTCAAAGGAAAAGACTTATTTTGGCTTTTTTCTTTTTTTCAGTTTAATATTCTTTTCAAAAACTTAACAGTACAAAAGTCGAAATTCAACCTTCATAGTCAAAATCAAGATGTTATCGAAAAAGTGTGCGCGAGTGAAGCAGGCTGAAAGTAAGTCAATTAATCTTTAGTTTTCTAGTATTTTCTAACTTTTCTAGTTAGTTTTATCTTACTAATTTTAATGTCCAAACTTAATATTTTTTTTTTCATTTTGCCTTTTTTTTACTGTGCTTTGTCTAATATTTGTTATTTCTCATATTTTCTTCTTTTTATTCATACTTCTCAATTTTTTTTTCTTCTCCATTCCTCCGTTTTGACCCCGTCTTCCTTCTTCTTGTTTCTTCATTCTCCTTTTCTCCCTATTCTTCCTCTTTTCCTCTCTTTTCCTCTCTTTTCCTCCTTCTCGTTCCCTCTCCTAACCCTCGTCTCCTTCCTTCTTCTTCCCTCTCCTAACTCTCCTCTCTCCTTCCTTCTCCTTCCCTCTCCTAACCCTCCTCTCTCCTTCCTTCTTCTTCCCTCTCCTAACCCTCCTCTCTCCTTTCTTCTCCTTCTTTCTCTTTCCCTCTCCTAATCCTCCTCTCTCCTTCCTTCTCCTTCCCTCTCCTAACCCTCCTCTCTCCTTCCTTCTCCTTCCCTCTCCTAACCCTCCTCTCTCCTTCCTTCTCCTTCCCTCTTCTAACCCTCCTCTCTCCTTCCTCGTCCTTTTTTCTTCTTTTCTTTCTTTTCCTCTTTTCTCTTAATTTTCCTTCCTTCCCTTGTCCACCAACGAAAAACTTCTAATCTAACATTAGCAAGTTCATTTTCACTAATCTGATGATGTTATCCGCCACATTTTGTAGTTTACATTCTTGGGACTGTTCTTATGATTCATGAGAAAAAGATAGCATGGTGTGTATGAGGTTTAGTAATCTTCCCTATATCTATGTTATATTTCAAATAAAATCCAAAGAAATTCAACCATTGATAAAAACTCAAATTGTCTAATCATACTTTTGCAACCAGGTGGATATTTCAAACTTAGATTATTTCATCTAACAGAATTCATAGTTTGAAATATCTAAGGTCTCCTATATTGAGTTGCAAAGATATAGGGATTAGAAAATCAGTGTTTATAATTACTGTGGTATATATGTGTGCATGGAGAATAGTTATAACATCTAGGGCTGAATAGGAATAAATCCTAACAGATAATATTTCCGAAAAAAACTGTCATGGAACGTTAAACTCGTGTAAAAAATAGAAGTCTAAATATAATAATTAATTTACTGCTGAAGATAAAACTTTATATATATGAACATTCTTTTTATCTTTTCGAAACCAAATTTATTCCTCTAATAATGTTATAAGTTTTAGCCTCAGCTCCGCATATCATGGATTTAGGGGGGAAATGGGGGGAGTTGGGGAACCTGGTTTGGAAAAGGGGAGCGGGGAGGGAGACCGATTTGATTTTATACCATGGATACTGAAACCATGCACACACACACACACTTTAACATACACAGAAAATATATAACAACGTATTCGAGGTAACAAGAGGGTGGGAGATAGTCCTCTTTCCTTTTCCAAGATGTGTTTAAAATTTTTTGCTTCATTTCATCTTGGCCCATGCCCCTACTGAGCATTTCTAGATACATCTGAATCTATATCTGAAACTAAATATCAGAACCCCAGAGGAGTTCTCAATCTACGGTAAAAAAAAAGTCGAGAAAAAACTTCCACGTCAACATGGGTGTCTAAACCTAGTCTTGAGGATTCCAAATGTTATCAAATGTTATCAAAAATGAGTTTGTTTCTCTATTGTCACTAGTTGTGTATGCTTTTTAAAAAAAAACGACAAATATGATTCCGAAGTAATAGTCTTGAGACTTAATAGAGTACACATAAAGAGTGCTGGTCAATAACTTGGTTCGGTTTCTTTAAATATTTTTGAAGGATTTGGACCCTGAGTGAAGATATATATATGTATATATATATATATATATGCATGTATATGTATATTTTTGAAGGATTTGGACCCTGAGTGAAGATATATGTATGTAATGTATATATATGCATGTATATGAATATTTTTGAAGGATTTGGACCCTGAGTGAAAATATATATATATGTATGTATATATATGCATGTATATGAATATTTTTGAAGGATTTGAACCGTGAGTGAAGATATATGTATATATATGTATGTATATGAATATTTTTGGCTTTTCTTTGATTTGCTGTAACTGTAATGTCAAGAAAAATACAAGGAAAAAGCCAACTAAAAAAATGTTCTTTTTTGGTTCGTTACATATTTACTGAGACTGTTAAATGCTAATGTTAAACTAAAAATTTCAGAAAAGAAAAAAATTTGCACAATTGCATTTTATTGAAATTCTCATAATCTCCTTTCCTTTTTTTCTTTTCTTTTTAAGTTTGTATAATATTCTCTTCACGATCCCATCTGATATTAGATCCCGCCCCTAGAATGCTTGTATGCACAAATATACAAGGAAAACATCTAAATTGTATAAAATTACGATAAAATCCCCCATTAAATTCCCGGTGAGATAGCGCTATAGTTTCATTTAAGAAAATTAAAATGTTTTTATCTAATTTTCTCCCAAAACGCATTATACATTGAAAAAACCTTTTCATCACCCTCCCCTACCCTGTTGAAGAAAGAAATAAATCTAGGGAGAGGAGTTGAGGAGTGAAAGGTTGTGAACTAAATAAGATTGAAAGGAAATATGAGAAGAAAAATAAGAAGAATGGAAATAAGTAAAAGAGAAAAATGGAAGAATTTGGAGAAAAAGAAGAAGTAAGAAGATAAGCGGAGAAAGGAAGAATACAGACAGGAAACTAAAAAGAAAGGAAAGGAAGAATTACGATCGAAGAAAGAAATAAGAGCGGAGAAAGGAAGAATACAGAAAGAAAACAAAGAGTGAAAATAAAGGAAGAATAACAAGTGAAGAAAGAAAGAAGAGCGGAGAAAGGAAGAATACAGACAGGAAACAAAGAAAGAAAGGAAAGGAAGAATTACGATCGAAGAAAGAAATAAGAGCGGAGAAAGGAAGGATAAAAAAAGAATATTTCGAATAGATGAACATCAAGAAAGAAGAAAAGAAGACAAAACAAGAGAGCGCAAAAAGGAAGGATAAAAAGAAGAATATTTAGAAGAGAAGAAGTAAAGAAGAGAGGAGAAAGGAAGGATAAAGATAAAAAAGAAAAAAATTATAACTTTTGTTTGGATAGTGGAGGTTGAGTGAATAAAGATTGGTGCCATTATAGATACGATGTTTGGACTTATTTAAAGCATTTGACTTCGTTAGTGTTTAAAGATTGTTAAAAAGTATTTCACAATGTATATAAGTAAATACTTAGATTTAGGGAAATATTGAATGAGGATGGAATTTTATAAGATAAGATATGAGATAAAAGATATAAAAGGGGGGAGAATGTCTGAGAAATAAATATCTCTGTGAAAAGGAAATCATTAAAAAAATATCGAATTATACTTTCAGGAATGTGGATTATGATAATAGGAATAAAAGTATTTTATGGAATTTAAAAAAAGTGGATCATGATAAATGGAATCATATGGGCCGGGGGGGGGGGGGCGTTAATGTCTGATATAAGAAATTATAAAAGATGTAAAGAAAATGACAGTAATCTGTGGGCAAGCGTAAACTTTTCACAAAGTTTTGTGGAAATAACTCAGCAGTAGTTTTCTAATGCAGACCAGCTGGGTTCAAACTTTAGGATTTTTCACATCTATTTAATAACATGAAGCTGGTGTAAGAATAAAGTTAAATATCAAATGTTTTTTTTTCAGATTTCTAGTTCATCAAAACGGATAAAATCTGTATTCAAATATTTTCATTTCATGGAAATATTTTGACCTTTTTATAAAAAATTATAAGTGTAAGATTAGGAAAGAAAATGAGTCTTTGCCACAAACTTTGACTTTCAAATCCCTATATCTTTGCAACCCTATGCCATGAACTTAAAATATTTCAAACTTAGTTTTCAATTACATATATAAAATAATCTAAGCTTATAATATAAAAGGTTTACAACATCAAGTTGCAAAGATATAGGGAATAGAATATTTGAGCTTGTGACAAAGACTCAAACCTGTGGCATTGATAATACTCTATTTAATATTCTCTCCTATTCTTGATTTTCTTTAAATATCGATTCTCAAAACGTATCCACCCAAATGGATGATTTTGAACGTCGACTTTGCGCTCATACTCAGTAATTATACATCATTAAAACGTTTTATATGTTTCAATTGAATCCTAAAAATTTTCTCCACATTACTACGTTCTCAGTTCAACTAATATACGTTGCCGATCACTCCCTTTAAAGTGTTTATTTCCAGTGCATTTCAAATTCTGAAAAGCATTTAAACGGT